TTGTAAAGGCCCCATTTTATGAACTGAATAACTTATTTCAAACGATATAAGTGATTGATCAAACCGTTATAATAAGGCACGTACCACAATTTTTGGAATAAAGGTAAACTAAGTAACCTAAATGCGGAGCGCACTTACAAATCGTGCATTTACGAAAACGCAAAAATTTTGGCAGGCTGGAGCTGATGTTTTGGTAGTTGGTCAAACGTATCCTAATTTTTTACAGGTTGTGAGTGAGTGGGGCAGAATTGTAAGGGGTTTCTTAACGAGACAGAGAGCAACACGCCTACTTGCAGTGACCGCTGCCTCATTTGGGTTTTATCACCGGTTTGTCCGCGTCTCCGTACAAAAGGAAAAATGATCAACAGGCTCAAGCCCCGGCCGTTTAACGACGGCGGTAGAACGAGTCGAGTCGGAGACACGACTCGAGACTCTCGCCCTTTCTGCCTGGACGGAGAGGGACGACCGCGCCACGACACCGTAATGGTTGGTACAGCAGGGACAGTTTTGAGGCAACAGTCACATTATCTTACTTTGCGTAGACACTAACCAACGTGTCAGGCACTGCAGTGCCATTAACTTTAGGTATGCCTTCCATATAAGCTTTATGGGACCCTATATGGCATTTATGGCGTATGGCGGGTTTCCGGAGGGCCCCTGTGTATAAGGTACATATTTTTCTGCATGTTTCACGTAAACGTACTATCCAGGGAGAATGGGGTCGAGAGCTGGTCACAACCCGTTCAATGAAAATTTTCATTGATCATTATCAATATCAATGACGAGAGTTTTTTCATTGATCAATGAAATAATCACATGATTTGAATATTTTCATTGAACAATTGTTCAAGTGAAATGAATGAAATTTTTATTATTGTTATGTTAACTTCTTAATTCACGAAAGTGACCATAAAGACGACTGATCAAGAACCTTCCGTTGTCTGAGCTGGCAACGCTACCCGGTCGTACAGGAGTTGTGTATGGACCGTTAGTTAGACAAATACTGAGACCACTGTACACCGCCTAATTTTTTTTAGCAAAAAACCGACAAAACTACCACAACGAGGTAGCCCAGTGACGGCACCACACTCGCCGCCCACCCCAGAACGCCTGATCAAAATATCGGGGTACATTGTAATGAATCCACGAAGTCCTCTAACCCGTAACGAACAACCAGGACGTGTGTTAATGTAAAATGACATTATAAAAAACGCAGGAAATAGGTGTGTTTAAACTTTTATCACCAATATAAAGTTCAACGTTTACGGCGACGACGAGAGCGACTATGACGTAGACGGTAACACACCACACACACACACACACACACACACACACACACACACAACACACACACGAGCCCACAGCCACACACCACACACACACACACCACACACACACACCACACAACACACACCGACCACCACCACTCGTTCGCAACGCACCACATACACACAATCGTCAATCGTTCACAAACACACACACAAATAAAAAAAGGGTAATTCCGTTCTGGGCGGGTGAGACAAGAGACTAACCGGATATGGGACTTTACAATGGGGCGGCATTGGTTAGTAGTGGAGGAGAGACCAATGAAAGTGAAAACGTTCCACGACACCTCTCCGTAGCGACATAAGCGGACATCAATGTAGGCGTCCCTCTAAGCCAGTCAAGGTAGTGTAATTACATTGCTCATTGCTGGGTAAATTTAGTTTCATTTGATATTGCCGCAATGAATTCCCTTATCAATTGATTCATTGCGATAACCAAATTGCGTTTTCATCAGACGCAATGTCATTCGCCAATCAGTGGTTGTGAAGAGAGCCTGTGGTCGCAAGACCTTTCGGGGTACTCGAAAGCGACATCTCACTTTTAACTTGCGTGTGCATAAATCAACAAACAGAATATAGTGCCGCTCAGACAAGAGAAGAGAGCCAGCATAGTGCGTTCAGACAGAAGGCCAACAACGGAGAAAACTTTTACTGCTTTATGTGTATGGCGGCCGGACGACCATTCCTCCAAACGGTGAGTGCGTAACGCGGCAAGCATGCACGATGAAACGGCAGCCGACTATCAGAAACGCCACCAGGACACGCCTGACAACCGGTTCTGCGTCCTCTGGACTCCGCTGTGTTGTCAGCCCCAGGTAGCCCTCACAAGAAACCATAGTCCTTACTACACATCCCTGCGGAATCATCTTTGTTTTGCTCTTTGGGAAAGGTTTTTTGTTAACAAAAAGGATAAGTAGGGCAAGGTGACTATGTGTACCTTGTAAGCGTGCGTTTTACTAATTTGCAGGTTTAGGTAGAGCGTACTCCCGAACGCACTTCCCGAGTAGTCGGCGTCCCCCTTTGCGTTTCGACCGTCACTGACCGAGAGAGGGACAGAGTGAGAGACAGAGTGAATGTGATTCCTCCCCAAACCATCCGAAGGAGAGAATGTCCAACCTAATCAGGATAACAGGACAAACCGACTTCTCCCAACCATAAAGTACACCCAAGAATTTCGCTCTGTCCGTCTAGCCGAGACAACGAGTCAAACATTTTCACTGAGTCGTGACCGTCCCTGACCATACACACCAGCACCTGCAAATCCATACACACCAAAACTACACAAATTCCAAGCGAATGTCCGGTCGACGCAATTACAAATTTCCAGCCGGGACAATTTCGCCTCGGAGGGGACGCGGTTCCTGTGGAATTGTGTTGCCGGCCAACAGTATCGTTACTCGTAAGACCCCTCTCCTCGTCCCCGTCGTCATCCTGTTTCCTTTAACGCAAACCGATGAGACCAAAAGTTCAGACTTCCTCTGACAATAGGAAATACAAAAAGACGTCCGGCTCTGTCTCAATCATAGCTTCCCAGGGGAGCTGTTTGTTTTATTAACAAGGTGAATGACTAAACGTTGTAACATCTTTTTTCCTAGAAACCTTTTGTAGTATTTACGTTAGGGGTCTACATTTTTCCGAATTCCCTATAATGAAAACTTTGCTTAATTGTAGTCGCAAGCGCTACTGAAGCTCTAGGGGTAGCGATTCGATCTTCCTCCGATTAAAGGCCAGAACACAGCATCACAGAAATCGGTGAATAATCGTGGTTACAAAATTTGTTTGCCTTTCCGAATGTCTGCAAGAGGTGATGGCAATTGACTCCATAAATACCACTCGTTGTTTTGCCCTTACTTTTAAACATATCAACCAAAATTTGCGTCAGGATTAAAACCTTTAAAGATAGTTTTTCATGAAACTCTACTCCCTTGGACTTCAACATGTTCACGTATTGATTAAAGACCAAGGTTTCTCCTCAAACCCTTTTCACATCGAATTCGCCATTACCGGTATTGCGCCAGAATGCTACGTCGTCTTGCGTCCCCCGCAATAAACTTCTCAAATTCTTTCCAATTTGTATTATGTACTGTTAATATCTCGTTTTGTCCATAATACTATGCGACTAAGAGTAAAGTGTCTGTTCTTGGGAGTTTTTCACACACCTACCTGTAGAAGGTCCGTCACGACACTCCAGAGAACGACAACCGATTTACTTGCAAGTAAGTGTTTTTTTTGGTACACAAGGACAAATTTGCATTTTTAGTATCCTTTTCACGATGTAAGTAAAGTTAAAGTTAAATCGACCTTTTCCCTCCAACAGTACGCGCGCAAAGTGACGAAGTGTGCCTTTCTTTCGACAGTGGTAGATGATATATTGTTAACTTAGCTCACTATGGAAACAACGTCGGACATCTACAAACGCGTCCTGTATCCGATCTCAAAATGTGCCATTTGCACAATGTGTCATGTATGCAGCCCTTGTTTTGCACTTGCGTGCACGTCGCGGCACTTTGCGAGCGTCTACCGGCTCGGGCTGCATTTTACACCGAACATATAATATACCGTTCGAAACATCTATTTGCCGCCGAACGCCACCTCACTCAAGTCGACCCAAGTCATACCGTCAGTGGCGGCTGGTGGGAAATATTTTTGGTGGGGCTGTTGATATAGTGAGTAAACAATTTTTTTTTGGGAGAAATGACCCCTTAAATTGGGACTGATACCGTCATATACCGTATGTCAGCAAGGTATGACGGTATGAAAAAAATGATACCGCCCATGCCTAGTCCCCGGTGTTCCAGGGAACTCACCAAGTGTCAGAAAACACAACCCTCTCTATTTTCCTCCATACCCAAATCTCTTAAAAAGGGGCTGCAACGGATCTGATACAGACTGATCCAGATTTGAACACTTCTATGACGTCACAGAAGTGGCGCTACGCCAACTCCACCAATAAGGAGGAGACAGCCACGGACATTGCCGTTCGAAAGCGCTGGAGATGCTGTAGTACATATGCCAGGCCTGTAGATGGTGCTGTTCTCACATAATCAGCCCATGCAAAGACAGTGTTAAATTGAGCGAAATGAGGAATGGCTAAAATGCATGATCTGTTTGGTATTTTGAAAAATAAAAAGTATAAATATGCCTTATATAGGTATGGTCCTACACTATATTATTCAAATATAGCATGATAGGTCCACTTTAAGTGAAATCTCAGATTTGCCTTCTGAATAGTCTGTTTGGGTCCTTCACTTCTGTTTCACTTCTCATGCACTGATTCGCTAGCTGAACAGCCAATCAGAGTGATTTCTTTTACCGACAGCCTACCGGCGGAAGATGTCGGCACGGCCGAAAAGACACGACGGTGCGGGACACACCAATCTGAGTAGGGCGACACGACGCTCATTGACGGCCTGACATCTATTGACGCCGAAAATCGGCCCGGTGTGTAGGGCCCTTTAAGGCTTGTCACAGATTCACACACACAGGCACGAACAAGTTTATATACACACACACTTCCATAAAGTGACCCGACAAGCTCTCCAACAAACACACAACAAAGAAACGTGTGTGTGTGTGTGTGTGTGTGTGGTATCACCTTAGCCAGACACTGGGGGTGTGTCTCGTGAAGAGCCAGGCTGGTCAGGTTGGACAGGGTGGTCTGGTCCAGCCACTGATGCCCCCTCTCCTCCTCATCCTCCTCTTCCTCCTGCAGCCTCCTCAGGACCCCCTCCAGAGCGAGCTCCCTCACCTCATACTGCGGTGCCTTAAGGAGGCACTGAAGGAGCTGGCTCTTCGGCTGAGGGTCCCCCCACAGCTCAGGGATCTCCACGCTGGCACTGAGGGCCACCCGAGCCAGGCAGAGCAGGCACTGGGTGCTGCCGGGCCCCAGGGGGGGGGAGGAGAGGACGAGGTCTGAGGCCATGATGACGGAGAGAGCGTCCTGACGGAGATCACTGACCTCTGAATCTGAGAAACACACACAGCTGAGTGTTAGCTGACTTCAGGAGGTGGCTAGTTATTTATGACATGCTTCGGTAGTAATACCTGTGTCTATAATGCATTACAAAGTTATAATTTGCTTACACCTACAGTTAGTAGCTCAAAATGCTTTATGAATTGTCATAACAGACTATACATTTTTTCTAATGACTTATAAGGTCAACTTCATAATTGCTGGTCCCATACTGACATGTTTATCATCCATTTGAATATGACTCAATAATACTCTAAGTTGTCATCGCTAAAATAAAAAATTGTATTTCTGATTTGTGTGTTGTTCTTGCATAGATATAAAGATATTTTTCACATAATTTATTGCAAACAATGACAACTTACGGTAACTGATAATGACTTTCTAAAGCATTAAAACAATATAATAATGCATTACAAGTATGTCAAATTATAATACACAATGATCCTTGCAAAATAAGAATAATTGATGAACAGTTATGAAGCATTATAAGCCTGAAATCGTATATGTAATGATTAAATGCTTTATTATATGCTATGTAGTCATGTTTAGGATTATTGTTATGAAGCAATGTGAACATTTATGAGCGCTTATAATGATAATAATTATACAGTGCTGAAATCAGATTCAAATGCAGTTTAGACATCCGCATCAGCATAGGAAGTGTTGCCAATATTTCTGGCAACACTTGTTACACATTTTTGAGAATCTTAACTTTTTCGGAACAAAAGTTTAAAATAAACATCTCCTGCATTCATTAAGAATACTTTCTTTAAGGAGGCCCTGCTATGTATTAATATTATTTTAGCATTATTTTGTTGATACATTACTGCACATCTTTAAATCGTTGCCTTTTAACAATATCAAAGGCTATATATTTTAAAGTATACTCTAAGTTTACTTATTGCAAAGGCCGTAATTATTCAGAGTACATTTTCAGTAAAAGTCTTTTCCAAGACACTTTCACTTCCAACTGTCTGAACCAAATGGCGTCACATGAACATACAGCAGAGCAAGGCTATTGCGATAATGTGAAATCTGGCCTACCTTTTGGGAAAACTATAATAAATCACACCTGCTTCCATTCAGGATTAATAAAGTTTTCGCTTATTTTGGCTCTATTATGTCTGGCGATGTACGTTAAAACAACATCTTCATCAAGTTTATTGAAATGTTTACACAATGAAATCCCAGCGGCTTAATTTCTTCAGACATGTCCAGTCCAACAAAACACACACACACAGACACACACACAGCAGCTTTGTGCAGCGGACAACAGGCCGGGCTCCTGTGTTCCTTTCTATTTTCACATTTATAGGAAAGGCTGCGTCAGTGTCTGTTTGGAAATGCCCATGTCCGTGCCAACCCCACCACCTGTGAACATACAGTCTCATAGAGTGATAGTGCGAGGACGTGCGTCTGGGAGACTGGACTAGTTGTCTGTGGACATTATCATTCGGGATAGACACAAGAAACTTTAACTTTCCTTAACGTAACACCAAACAAATGAAAGCAACGTCAACATTAAACATGAGATTCACATTAGTATAACCGTACCAGATACTAAATAGCGTCTTGTCCGGCCGTTCCTAATCGCGGAGGAAAGGGGTAAAAGATTACTACACTCTGCGCGAGAGCGAGAGCGAGCGAGTAGCGCTTTGTGCTTTATACAGAAGTGATCGCCGGTCGCTTGAACAGTATTTCAGGATGATAAAGCGATTCTGAAGTATTTTTTCTATCGATAAATCTATTGTAGGGTAGCGTAAATCTCCCTTCTATACTAACGCAGTTTAACATGACAAGTTTTAATATACAAAAATGGATAATGAAGAAATCTAATGGCAAATGCCTGGGCAAAGGTAGTGAAGTCATCCCGGACGCGGAAGCAGAGACGCGGAGCGCGGCCGCAGACAGACGATGTAGCCTCATCGTGGGTCTAGAGCTCTATGAGGAGCGGGGACTGTGTGTTCGTCGGCAAACAACGACTCGATTCAAAATCATCACACCGTATACTAAGCAGTAACCAGACTGCGAAGAACGCCTCCCACATTACGGAAACAGACTGTTGTGTAGTAGTAGTCCAGCAGTTTTACAACTGTAGAGCGGTCGTGATAGACAACAGTCCGTCGGTGCGTCGATGCGAGGGCATCAAAGACAGTAGAAAGGTATTTTGCTATCGCTACAAGCCGTTTTTCACTCAGTCGGGTAAGTTTACTTACCTTCGGCAGTTGCGTCGCGACCACACCTGCCCCAATGATACATCGACCTCGCGGGATACATCTTCAAGTTATCAGACCTCCGGCGATTCATGCTACGAGAGGTTCACCAAGATGTGGAGAACCTGTTGGTGTGTGTGTGTGCGTGTGGGTGTGGTGTGTGTGTGTGTTTGTGGTGTGTGTGTGTTGGAACTACATAAAGGCACTGTCTCTGATGCAAGAGAGACAAACTGTGCGAGGGCAAGAGGAAGGTCAGTACGGAGGAGGGAAGTCAGTAGCTCCGAAGAGCGTTCTCGAGACACCGAGAGAAGCTGAGAGAGTGAATGTTTAAGGGGTATTGTCTTCTACCTCTTCGTCATTCACAGCTATACCAAATCCAAAGAGGAACCTGCGAGGAGGAAAACCCTCGTCACTATCGGATAACATATTAGGTACCGCGAGAGCCATAAACCATTTCTGACGGTGTCTCGTAAGTCCTGTGGAGACCGAGATAAAAGAGAGCGTAGACGGCCAGCCTAACTCGCGTCTGCCTCCCCCCCGTCCACCGACTCACCTCATACTGACTCGAGATCACTTAACTCGTGTTCATGGCTACGGCAGTATTGTGCGCTCTCCAGTTAAACACACACAAAAGAGCAGACACAAAGCCAAACGACCACACACCTACACCCTATCTACCACAAACTACTACTATCACTCCGACCAGAGACGCAATGACAACTTCTCCGCACGCCACAGCCGCCCCACCCCTCACACTTATTGCAGCACGAGCCTCATCCATATCCGGGCAGGTGTGTCGCCACACACGACACACACTACACACACGAACCGACCAACTGCACAAAGTGGATAGTCGAAACCTACCCGACTGACGACTGACAACACGACGACCACCACCTATACACACACCTTGCGCCTCGCACGACCACGAGGCGACGTTTTCAACTGTTACAAACGTTAGCACACCTGACGACGCGACCCCTTCGCAGCGGTTAGCCTTAGTATACGGTCATGTTCGAGAATTCCGATCACTTGGAGCCGACGAACCCAGTCCGCCCTCTAAGTACACTCCACCCAACACAGACATCCACCGGTCCGCCGCGCGGCTGCCCC